TTCTGACACATGTGACCACCATGTTTACATAAAACCCTCCAATGGCAGGTCACCGTCTCTCTGGTGTCTTAGCGCATAGTGCAATGAATTAGGAATGGGGGCGAAATAATAGATCGCTTCTTGGACTTTTATCCATTTGGTCTGATGTCCATTCAATATATATTTCTAAGCTTCTTCCGGATACCCACCAAGGAGGACCTGTTAGCCCGTTGGGGCCACCTTACCGGAGCCAGTGAGCTTGTTTGGTACATCTGGTGCCCATAGAATATATGTCTACATTCTAATCTCCTTCCCAATACCCACCAAGGAGGACCTTTTAGGCTGCTGGAGCCCCCTTACCACAGCCAGTGAGCTTGTTTGGTACATCTGGTGCCCATACAATACGTCTACATTCTAAGCTTCTTCCGGATACCCACCAAGGAGGACCTGTTAGCCCGTTGGGGCCACCTTACCGGAGCCAGTGAGCTTGTTTGGTACATCTGGTACCCATACAATACGTCTACATTCTAAGCTTCTTCCCAATACCCACCAAGGAGGACCTGTTAGGCTGTTAGAGCCGCCTTAACGGAGCCAGCGAGCTTGTTGGGTACATCTGGCTACCCCGGCACTGCAAAGGGCAACTGCTGGCACAAAGAAAGAAAACGCATTCGCCTGATCCTTGGCCCGGTAGCAGTGGCCCCTCTCTTCCCCTCCACTCCAGCTGTGGTATGTCCCCTGGCATCTTAAAGTCTAATAGATCTGTATTAGCTGTGATGACATCACGGATCCTTAGACCTGATGGATCCCGGGGGGCAGAAGAGGCTGCGGGGACCGGTCTACGTTTGTTCCCGCCTAGCAGTCAGGCCGGACCGGGGATCAGGTGAGTATATCATCTTTATTTGAGCCGAAGATCACCTCCAGGTGCCTGGGCACAGCTGTGGCTTCTAATTCACAGGTGACATGATGGTTTCTGTATAGTTTTATTAGTCTAAGTCACATTAACAAAAAACATGTTTCCTGTCTGTATAGGAGCCGGAAGTACTGGGAGAAATGAGTAGGAGCAGGAAGTACGGGGAGAAATGAGTAGGAGAAGGAAGTACGGGGAGAAATGAGTAGGAGCAGGAAGTACGGGGAGAAATGAATAGGAGCAGGAAGTACGGGGAGAAATGAGTAGGAGCAGGAAGTACGGGGAGAAATGATTAGGAGCAGGAAGTAAGGGGAGAAATAAGTCACCAGCCCGGAGTTCCGCTTCACCCCCCATGCAGACCATTGGTTATTCCTTCCCCCGTCCCATGTATGGGGAGGAAGACGATCACTCACCCGAGTGGATCCCCTGACGATCTCGGACAGCTGGCGGATCGGGCTGGTGCTGGAAGTTACAGTGTTGTTGGTCTCCTGCTGCGTGAAGTGTCTGAAAAGATAGAAAAATGAAAATAATGGAAATGAATTTGTTCGGAGAAACAATTATACAAACCGCACGGCGCTGGTCATATTTATTTCACAACCGCTCCTTTCCCATCTACATCATTCATCTTAAACAGTGGGGTACATCCTCTCCCTCCCCCCCTCCCCCCTCCACCGCGTCAGGATCCTCCGAGAATTGTGATATCAATTTTCTTCATTCAAAATAACCTCTGAAGTGCATACGGGACACAAAGGCTCCACGACGGGGGTGTCTTCTTATTACAGAGGAAAACTGCGGAGCCCCATATGTAAGACTGTAATGTGTTCAGAAACATGGAACGGGAAGCTGCAGTTCCATCCGGTTCTAGTAGTGAGAAAGGAGGACAAGTAGATGAACAACCACCATACACCGCTCATAACGTGAAGGGCGCGCGGGCTTTAGAAATGTTGCCGTGCAATACTGACCAACCTTGCCGGTTACCTGGTGCAGCTCTTGCAGCTTCAACAAAACTCAAACATTATATACACCGATCAGCCATAACATTCTGAGCACCCCCCTAATATTGAGTAGGCCCCCCTTCTCCTGACCCGTCCAGGCATGGACTCCACTAGACCTCTGAAGGTGTGATGTGGTATCTGGATGCCCCCCCCCCCTAATATTGAGTAGGCCCCCCTTCTCCTGACCCGTCCAGGCATGGACTCCACTAGACCTCTGAAGGTGTGATGTGGTATCTGGATGCCCCCCCCCCCTAATATTGAGTAGGCCCCCCTTCTCCTGACCCGTCCAGGCATGGACTCCACTAGACCTCTGAAGGTGTGATGTGGTATCTGGATGCCCCCCCCCCCTAATATTGAGTAGGCCCCCCTTCTCCTGACCCGTCCAGGCATGGACTCCACTAGACCTCTGAAGGTGTGATGTGGTATCTGGATGCCCCCCCCCCCTAATATTGAGTAGGCCCCCCTTCTCCTGACCCGTCCAGGCATGGACTCCACTAGTCCTCTGAAGGTATGCTGTGGAATATGGCACCAAGCCGTGAGTAGCAGATCCTTTAAGTCCTGTAAGCTGTGAGGTGATCGGCCTCCATGGATCGGACTTGTTTCTCCAGCACATCCCACAGATGATGGATTGGATTGATATCTGGAGAATTTGGAGGTGGAGTCATCACCTCAGACTCCTTGTGTTCCTCAAACCATTCTTCAACCATGTGTGCAGTGTGGCAGGGTGCATTATCCTGCTGAGAGAGGCCACTGCCATCAGAGAATACTGTGTCCATGAAGGGGGGGACTTGGTCAGGCAGAGCCAGCTGTGCCCGCCCCCTCCCCCGTCTGTTCCGCCAGTCAGATCGGACAGGGGAAAGGGGGGAATCCCTGCAGGGAGCCGTGAGTGACCGACACGGCTCTTTGCAGGGAGATGATCGAGAAGTGAGCGAGCGACGGTGTTCCCTCCTTGCCCGATCTACTGAGCCGACCTGTTACAGTCTCATTGTCACATGTCGGCTCAGATTATGAGGCTGAGTGAAAATCACCCCCCTCATAGTTCTCCTTTAATGGAAGCCGTAGGTAAGTCCGAACCGTTCCCAACTGTGACAAAGCGACTCCCAACAGGTCCAGTTATAGACAGAGCGACTCCTAAGGTACGCGGTCTGCGATAAAACCTGTCGCTGGCGAGTTGCGGCCAGCGAGAAGGTTGCTCGTGCGGCACGACGGACCTCCTGCAGACCGGTTCAGATCCGTCTGCTGCATTAGCGGGAGACTCTACACCGGGGGTGCCCACGATTTCTGTGTTAAGATCTACTTTTCAAATGAGATCTACCAACGAAAAAAAACCTCCCTCGCTCTCTCTCTCCTGGCTGTCTCTCCTCTCTCTCTTTCTGTCTGTCTCTCCTCTCCCTCTCTTTCCTCGCTCCCCTGGCTGTCTCTCTCTCTGGCTGTCTCTCCTCTCTCTCCCCTGGCTGTCTCTCCTCGCTCTCTCCCCTGGCTGTCTCTCCTCGCTCTCTCCCCTGGCTGTCTCTCCTCTCCCTCTCTTTCTGTCTCTCCTCTCTCTCTCCTGGCTGTCTCTGCTCTCTCCCCTGGCTGTCTCTCCTTGCTCTCTCCCCTGGCTGTCTCTCCTCGCTCTCTCCTCTGGCTGTCTCTCCTTGCTCTCTCTCCTGTCTGTCTCTCCTCGCTCTCTCCCCTGGCTGTCTCTCCTCGCTGTCTCTCCTCACTTTCTCTCTCCTGGCCGTCTCTCCTCTCTCTGCTGTCTGTCTCTCCCCTCTCTCCTGGCTTTCTCTCTCTCTCCTGGCTGTCTCTCCTGTCTGTCTCTCCTCGCTCCCCTGGCTGTCTCTCCTCGCTCTCTCTCTCCTGTCTGTCTCTCCTCGCTCTCTCTCCTGGCTCACCTTGCTGTATTTTGCAGTGTAATCTAATATTATTTGATGTAATACATAGGAGCACTACAACCCCCAGTATCCTCCAGGAAGGTGTCGGGGAGCTCGGCTCAGCAGACTCGGGCTAATAGGTAATCATGTGAAGATGCTTGGGGGGGGCCTCAACGGTGGTGTTAAAGAGGGTGGACGGCCAACGACGGCTTATGCAGAGACATTCATCTCCGCACAGTCAATATTTAAGGGGCGTTCGGCCTCGCCGGGCAAGTATGGAGAAAACCGTAAAACCCTCCGTGCGGAACGGCACTGCGCGGCACTCACCGGCGGTACAGGACACGTACAGTACATACGTGACGGAGCATCTGAGGAACGCGCCTTTCATTCCCATACATCCCGCGCCGTTATCTGATGGCAATTATTACTAAGAGGTCAAAGCTAACCGTTTATACTATGACCCCGACCTTCCCGGACAGATATACTCGGGATCGCTATCAGCCGATGGATACGGATACATACCAGACACCCATCCGGTCTTCTTACAGCGGAACACAGAGAGCAAAGATTTGTTATGGGGAATGTCTACATCCTGCTAAAAACAGCAGAGCACTTCCTGTGCCTAGACACGCCTGATATCAGAGCATTTCCTGTGTCTAGGCACGCCTGATAACAGTGCATTTCCTGTGTCTAGGCACTCCTAATATCAGAGCGCTTCCTGTATCTAGGCACTCCTGATATCAGAGAACTTCCTGTGTCTAGACACGCCTGATATCAGAGCACTTCCTGTGTCTAGACACTCCTAATATCAGAGCACTTCCTGATCCTATACATGCCGGATATCAGAGCACTTCCTGTGTCTACGCACTCCTAATATCAGAGCACTTCCTGTGTCTAGGCTCTCCTGATGTCAGAGCACTTCCTGTGTCTAGACACTCCTAATATCAGTGCACTTCCTCTGCCTAGACACTCCTGATATCAGTGCACTTCCTCTGCCTAGGCATTCCTGATATCGGAGCACTTCCTCTGCCTAGAAACTCCTGATATCAGAGCACTTCCTGTGCCTAGGCACTCCTGATATCAGAGCACTTCCCCTCTCTAGGCACTCCTGATATCAGAGCACTTCCTGTGCCTAAACACTCCTAATATCAGTGGCATTACTCAGTAAGATTACTGACAATGGGCCACTTCCTGCCGTCACACTCCATGTAGTCATTCTCTGAGGACTCTGTGTGTCTCTGAGGACTATGTGTGTCTCTGAGGGCTCTGTGTGTCTCTGAGGGCTCTGTGTGTCTCTGAGGACTCTGTGTGTCTCTGAGTACTCTGTGTGTCTCTGAGGACTCTGTGTGTCTCTGAGGGCTCTGTGTGTCTCTGAGTACTCTGTGTGTCTCTGAGTACTCTGTGTGTCTCTGAGGACT